AAGCAAAGAACAATAAACAAAAACAAAATCCCAAGATTGATAAAATGCGAATTGTATAGTTTCGAAACGAAACATTTACCCACATTTATATAAGGATATATATTTTGTAAAAAAAACCCAAGATTCCAAAATCTGAACCCAAGGCGTCAAATAAAAACCCAAATCTGGGGGTAAAAACCCATCATTAGCAGCCCTGGCTCAGGCCTTAATCACTTTTCACTCTCTCTCTGGACACGAGATCTAGAGCAGCGGTTCTCAACATGCCGGTTGCGACCCTTTTTTGGGGTCCAACGACCCCTTCCCAAGGATCGCCTAAGACCACTGGAAAATATATTCATTGAAGCTATGAAGGAAAATAATTGCTCGGTTGTTTGCCACAAAATGAAGGAACTGTATAAAAGGGTCACGGCATTAGGAAGGTTGAGAGCCACTGATCTAGGGCGACTCCAGAATCACGCACGATATCGTCTGCGTGTTGCGTGCACATCCGTTTGATAGATCCTACTTATTTGTATGCAGATTGTGTAGCACTGGTTACAGCCGATGTGCCATCTCCACACTCTCTTGATGATGGATCGAGATCAGCACAGGCATGAGAGTCAGGTCGCAGATTGCAGCTCTTCCTTACTCCCATCCAAATCATGGGCAGACAGCAGTCTTGCCCTACTTCTTACTTCGGTCCCCATGCTGACGCCAGCCTCGTCAACATCATGAGTTACCCTCGTACTCACTGAGCATCATCGAATCTCACAGGAAGTTGAGGGGCAAACGCCTGTTTGAATGGACCAACAGTAACTGACTGGACGTTTTTCCCCACCAGAACATCAAGCCGCGTGATAAACACCAGGTAACACAAAGTGCCACCATTCGGATGAGGATCATCCGGGGTCTGGTCCAAGAAATCACGTTCAACATGTAGGGTTATAATTAGGGCCCCCGACCACAGCCGGAGTGGGGTTTCAAAATAACGACAAATGGTCTCCCACATGGGGCCGATTGTTAATTGACCAACAGCATAGCTAAAGCACTTTATATCGCCTCTCTCATCTAAATCACTTCAAGTGGGTGTCATGACTCCAATTTGGAGAGGGGGGGGGGTAGACAAACTGCCCCAACAAACATGTCTTAGGAGGCCACTAATTAGGGTTGCTTCTTTCGATAAGTCGGCTCTGTGGCTAGGTCGATGCGAACGCTTCGTAATGCCGGGGTGCCGAGTTCGATCCCAGCTGCGGGCCATGCGCCTTGCTTGGTTTCGACAGTGGTATCAGGGGGTCGACCGTCCAGGAAGAAATGGCAAACTACTGGAGGTGAATTTACCTAGAGAAGCCACAACAGCCAGGGGCTGCTGGGGTTGGTTCTGCAACGTCCTGTAAAGGATACGCAACTAACCTCTTTCGATAACCGAGGCGTCTGCCGTGAAGTCGACAAAACAACCGTCTGCATACAAATAAGCAGATTTGTAAAACGAATGCGTGAGAGGCGAGGAATCAACAAGTAAGCAGATAAGTAAAACGGATGTGCGTGCAAAGCTAAAGTTCTGGAACATGATCAAAGTCCAGATATGGACTAACAACCAGCCTTTCTTCGGAGTTGACAGTGAGTGCTAAGAAGAAGGAGAAGAAAAAGAAGGAGGAGACTTCCATTTATTTCAAGAATACTAAGGCTATGCGCTTGTTTACCGAAATCCCATCCTTGCGATGGGAACCCGGACAAATAAAACCCCATGCTATCCGGTTTGTTTAAAAAACATTTTGCCGCACAAGGTAAAGCTATAAATGTAGCTTCATTTGTTTATTAACAAATATTTCCACAACTGCCAACTTATTTTATGACATGTGAAATCATTGCTAGTTTTTACTGAAACTGTTAAACAACGAGGTTTACATCTTTGAGTTGTAAACTGTCTTTGCCCTAGTTAGTGGTCGGCAATTCCCGGCTCGCGAGCCGCATGCGGCTCTTTAACGACCTGAGTGTGGCTCGGCCAGTCGGCTACAAATCGGTCTTGACTCCGAAAAATATGGTTTTTAAAAGACTTTTGAAAAGAAATTTGGCTCTAAAAACACTAATCGGTCTGCTGCTGATTTTTGGCTCTTTTGACTAAAGAGTTTGCCAACCTAGAGAATATTGTTGGGATCAATTTCTTGTCCTGCATATTTAAAGAATAGTTAGTTCTCCAGTTGCGTTGCTTTTGTTCTTGACTGAAAAGATTTATTACCATCTATTTTAGTTCAGTTATGTCCACTTTAGCATTGCTGTAGTCAGTTTCTTGTCTTCGGTAAAAGTGATCATCAAACACCCAGTTGTCTCTACCCGTGGATCTAATGAATCTCTTTACCAAGAAAGTTAACATCTTTGTAATGCTATCTGGTAATCTGATAATCTTAGTTTCAGCTTCATAGTAAACGGGTCACCCCGTAGTTGCTCCGCTCCCGTGCCAACGAAAATCACACAGAATGTTTATCACAGTTCCTTGTGGAAAGATTGACAGACTGCTGTCTCAGCATATGCACTAGCATACACGCGAATTAAAAGCATACGGTAGCTATCAGAAGTGCTAACACAAACAGTCTGACATTAGAAATGCAGTTTATCGTGGATAATAGCAGAAGTCACCAACAGATTAGCAGTTGCACAGGTGATCAATTTTAATTACATAATGGCACCACCAGTATTGTGACAACAAGCATCGTGCCATTTTCTGAATTTACAATTCACACCACTACCTTGGTCACCATCGAAAAACATCAAATTAAATCCGCAGCTCACAGTGTCACGCCATGCATTCAATTCAGAAGCTGGGCGACGAAACTATATCCTTCAGTCTACAAAAAGAGCACAGATGCAACGGCCACCGTCTGACAGAAGCAAACAATTTGCCAAAGCTTGCAACAGTGACCGTGCCTAGAGTCCATTTTGACCGGAAGTCAATGCTGTATCTTTGCCTAAGTGAACATGGCTGTACTCTTCTATCTTATCGTGGACACTGTACAATGATACATGATCGGCCCTGCAGCTGTCTTTGTCCATAAGTGGACAGAGCGCTTCAACAAGTAGACATCTGTGAAGTGTCGTGTCTTAGCCCAGATGATCGTATTCGAAGCTTGTTTTTGTGTTAAGTGTCAGTATTTGAACAACAATTAAAACCGATGTTGTTTCTTTCAGTGATAGCAAACCAATGCAGGAGAAGTAGCATTCTTGGGAGCAACGACCAGCAGGCATTTGGTAGTCGCCTAGTTGGTCAAATTTTTCGAAGAAGATGCACACTTTCTGTGCGATTGTGCGCCAACGGGGTTTTCCTGTTTTTGATTTACCTTATGCTGGTCTCTTTTCCCACCATTAACTATTGGCTACATAAGATTCGCAATGTCTTGGATGTCAGCAATAATTCCATAACAATACATAACTCAGTGGAGTTCAACACCAATCAATAATTCAAAGAACAGTTTACATCAAAATACGCTTACAGATGCAATGTAACAAGTGCCAAAGAAGCTATGGTCTTGTGGAAACGTAGTTAGTTGGTATCTCCTCTTGAGCCTAGTGCGGCACATAGGGCAGAGGTCATAGCTCTCCACATCCTGCGGTTCGCTGCCACCTGTTTAGGTCTTGGACGTACATTATGCCCATGATTGAGCCTTCCATAATGATCGTTCTACCGCGACCGACTGGTCGTGGTTCTACCCAGGATCTCTCTTGGTCTTATTCTTTGTCTTTTCCCTTCTGGTATCTGTCCATATGAGGGCTTGACGGGGAGGGGGGGGGGGGGGGGGGGTGTCTGGTCTTATCCATTCTGACTGCATGGCCGACAGTTCCAGCGTCGCTTTAAAAAAAATAAAATTGGATACATTATCTTGCTTAATAGCACACAATTATCTGATGATTTAACCCAACGGCTTCATCAGTCGAAGAAAAAAAAAAGAACAGTCAACGAACTTCCTTATAAGCATTTTGTTAAATTAAGGGACAGACCAGTTCCGATTCGTGACGCAGGTAGCAGAACATGTTGATAAAAGTACACTCCAGACGTTAGACATTATAGTCTATATTCTTACACCAACAACACGACGGTTCATTTCTTGTGCGTTCGGGACCCTTGGTGTGAAATAGACCCACTGCCCCCCCCCCTCTTTTTTTACATGCATATCGTAAAAGGCGACAACACAATGTGCTTTTTGTCTTTTTTAAAGTGCGAACGCAGATTGGGGTTGTTTCCACCATCTCATCCATTGAACAAATGAAGGCGTAGAGTTTTGACATCAAGATAAAGAACTGCACTGGGAGAGTGAGAAGTATTGCCAATGATGTCTCATTGTCTCCATTTACAGATGACAAAGGGGCCAGTTAAACAATCTGTGTGCTCTTGCAGATGTAAAGGAGAAACAATTCAAACATTTCAACATTGTAATCTCTGTTCCTCTACCAACGAAGGTGCGTCTGTTCTTGGGGGTCCATTTGATTCACACTGACACTAGTGAAACTGACAAAAAGATAGCAAGTTCTAGTGCGGTCTCACTGAGCTTCTTTCTATCTCCCAATATCATTTTTATTAAATAAAGAACAATATCAGCGCCATGAAGTAGTTCAGAAGTAGCGCCAACTGACCCAGAAGCCAGTTAAACAATTGGTGTAATGGGAGATATAACGAAGAAACATTTCAGGCGTTTCAGTATTATAGCGTCTTTTCTTCAATCAACTATTCTATGTTCCTGTAAACTCACTTGATTGAAACTGACATTGATAGAACTGGCAGTTACTGATTGGTAATGCCGAATTCCTTCAACCTCCCAAAACTGTTTATTTCCTCCATTTCATCCGTTAGACAGATGACGGCTTAGAGTTCTGAAGTAGATAGAAAGACCAGCGCCACGCAACGGTTGAGAAGCGAGGCCGCTGAATTATCATACAATGACGACTCAGAAGTCAGTGAAACAATTTGTGTGATCTTGCTGCAGATATAAGGAAGAAACACGCTCAATCGTTATGGTCTTAGTTCTTCAACATTATGTGTGCTCCTGTGGGCCCACTTGATTCATACTGACATTAATGGAACTGGCATAGATGTGACAGTTACTGGTGCGGTATCGAGGTGTTCCATTCGTTCTGCCAATACTGTTTGTTTCCTCTGTTTCGTCCGTTAGGCAAACAACGGCGTAGAGTTTTGAAATAAAGAGAAAGACCAGCGCTACTGAGTGGTTGAGAAGTAGCGCTAAAGTTAACAGCAATGTCTTCATGTACTGACGGCTGGAGGTGACGAAAGTGGGAATGAAAGCCATCCAGATGACCAACGTGGTCATCACACACATCGACATGAATCGAGACTCATTGAAGTTGTCGGGCAGCTTGCGGGTCTTGAATGCAAAGATGGAGCATAGGAGGAAACCATGTGAGGTTTTATAGGCCTAGGAAATATTCCAGGCCGGG